GAGGCATCCTAAACAGATGCCCGAGCCACCTCAACTGGCTCCTCTCGACGTGGAGAAGCAGCGGATCTACTCTGAGTCCCTCCCGGATGATCGAGCTTCTCACCCTATCTCTAAGGGAGAGCCCAGACACCCTGCGGAGAAAACTAATCTCGGCCACTTGTATCCGAGATCTTGTTCTTTCGGTCACAACCCAAAGCTCATGACCATAGATGAGGGTAGGAACATAGATTGATCGGTAAATTGAGAGCTTCACTTTTTGACTCAGCTCTCTCTTCACCACGACAGACCTGTACAGCGCCTGCTTCATTGCAGGTGCTGCACCTATCCACCTATCGATCTCACATTCCATTTTCCCTCATTCATGAACAAGACCCCAAGATACTTGAACTCCTCCACTTGGGGCAGGACCTCCTCCCTGACCTGGAGAGGGCACTCTACCCTTTTCCGGCTCAAGACTATGGCCTCGGATTTGGAGGAACTGATCTTCATCCCGGCCGCATCGCACTCGGCTGCGAACCGCTCCAGCGAAAGCTGTAGATCACGATCTGATAAAGCCAATAGGACCACATCATCTGCAAAAAGCAGGGACGCAATCCCAAGGCCACCAAAACGGATCCCCTCAACACCTTGGCTATGCCTAGAAATTCTGTCCATAAAAGTTATGAATAGATTCGGTGATAAAGGGCAACCTTGGCGGAGTCCAACTCTCACCGGGAACAAGCCCGACTTACTGCCGGCAATGCGGACCAGGCTCTGACACCGGTCATATAGAGACCTAACAGCCTGTATCAAAGGGCTCAGTACCCCATACTCCCAGAGTACCCCCCACAGGGTTCCCCGAGGGACGCGGTCGGATGCCTTCTCCAAGTCCACAAAGCACATGTAGACCGGTTGGGCAAACTCCCACGCACCCTCTAGGACCCTGTTGAGAGTGTAGAACTGGTCCAGTGTTCCACAACCAGGACGAAAACCGCACTGCTCCTCCTGAATCCGAGGTTCAACTGTCCGACGGACCCTCCTCTCCAAAACCCCCAAATCGACCTTACCAGGGAGGCTTAAGAGCGTGATCCCCCTGTAGTTGGAACACACTCTACGGTCCCCCTTTTTGAATAGGGGGACCACCACCCCGGTCTGCCAATCCAGGGGAACTTTCCCCGATGTCCACGCAATATTGCAGAGTCACGTAAGCCAACACAACCCTACAACATCCAGAGCCTTAAGGAACTCTGGGCAACTCTCATCCACCCCTGGGGCCCTGCCACTGAGGAGCTTTTTAACCACCTCGGTGACCTCAGCACCAGAGATTGGAGGGCCCGACCAAGAGTCACCAGGCTCCGCTTCCTCAGAGGAAGAATGACCGGTGGGATTGAGGAGGTCCTCAAAGTATTCTGCCCACTGACCCACGACATCCCGAGTTGAGGTCAGCAGCCCACCACTCCCACTATAAACATTGTTGGTGGTATACCGCTTTCCCCCCGGAGACGCCGGATGGTGGACCAGAATCGTCTCGAAGCCGTGCGGAAGTCATTCTCCATAGCCTCTCCGAACTCCTCCCACGCCTGAGTTTTTGCCTCAGCGACCACCCGAGCCGCATGTCGCTTGGACTGCCGGTACCCATCAGCTGCTTCCGGGGTCCCACAGGCCAAAAGGCCCGATAGGACTCTTTCTTCAGCCTGACAGCATCCCTCACCGACGGTGTCCACCACCGGGTTCGAGGGTTGCCGCCGCGACAGGCACTGACAACCTTGCGGCCGCAGCTCTGGTAAGCCGCCTCGACAATAGAGGCATGGAACATGGCCCACTCGGACTCAATGTCCCCCACCTCCCCCGGAACATGTTCAAAGTTCCCCCAGAAGTGGGAATTAAAGCTCCGTCTCACAGGAGACTCTGCCAGACGTTCCCAGCAAACCCTCACAATACGTTTGTGTCTGCCAGGTCTGACCGGCATCCTCCCCCACCATCGGAGCCAACTCACCACCAGGTAGTGATCAGTGGACAGCTCCGCCCCTCTCTTCACCCGAGTGTCCAAGACATGTGGCCGCAGATCAGATGAGACGATGACAAAGTCGATCATCGAACTGCGGCCTAGGGTGTCCTGGTGCCAAGAGCGCATATGGACATCCTTATGCTTGAACATGGTGTTTGTTATTGACAATCCATGACGAGCACAAAAGTCCAACAACAGAACACCATTCGGGATCAGATCAGGGGGGCTGTTCCTCCCAACCACACCGACCCTAACTATAGGATTTAGCAAAAAGAAAAGTCTTAAGCCTAGTTTTAAAACTGGATAATGTGTCAGCCTCACGGACAGAGATTGGCAGTTGGTTCCACAAGAGAGGAGCCTGATAACTAAAAGATCTGCCTTCCATTCTGTTTTTGTAAATTCTAGGAACCACAAGTAAACCTGCAGTCTGAGAGCGAAGTGCTCTGTTATGAAAATATGGAACCATAAGATCTGTAACATAAGGTAGAGCCAGGTTGTTGAGAGCTTTGTAGGTTAGAAGTAAGATTTTGAAATCTATTCTGGATTTGACAGGGAGCCAATGGAGAGAAACTAAAACTGGAGAAATATGATCTCTCCTACTAACTCCAGTTAAGACTCTAGCAGCAGCATTTTGGTTCAACTGTAGTGAACTAAGCCTCAGGTCAAATCTGGCCCTGAGGGCCTTCCTGGGACAAGAACTGTCATTTCATTGATTTGAATCCAGAGATACAGGTTGGCCCATCCAGAGACTTTCTAAGTGTGTCCTGCATGGATCAATTGAAAGGACACTCTCTTTTTTATTATCATTACTATTTTACAAATGTCTTGATAATCAAAAGTGTGTTTAGTTCAAATCATTTTTAAATGTTGAAGTGAACTACTTATTTTAAATCAAATGTGAAACAGTATTAATGCTTTTTAATCCTCATTCAAAGTAGAAATCTAGTTAATGTCTGTTACAGAGTAATTATGCATTTTGATTTTCTGTCTGAAATGAGCAAGTTGTAAGTTAGTCAAAAGTCAAGTTTCGGTCAAAAACATGTTTACTGGAAAGAAATGTCATGTTTAACTTTTTCAGACAGATAGGAGGAGACTGGCTCCAAAAAGTCTAATTTCTTCAAAACATCTTTCTGTCTGTTCTTAAACAATCTAATCTTTCTCCTTGACTTTTAATAACCTTTTACATCACTAAGACCACACCCCTGTTGGTTCTATCAGCCAATCAGGAAGTTCTCAGAGGAACCGGAAGTGACCTCTTTAAAAGGGTCAACACTTCCTAGTTCCAGTAGAACAACGGGAACTAAGCTGAACAAAGTTCAGTTCGGAGTGCAGAATGCAGTTCGGAACGCAGAACGCAGAACAAAGTTCCGAGTCTCGTGGGAATTATGAAATCTTCCACATCTGAGTGGAACCTCTGACGGACTCACAGCTCATGCGAGCCCACCCGAGAGGTGAGCTGGTGTAGAACGAAGTACCGTCACTACTCCGAACGGTTCTCTGCTATCCTTACGGAGACGCTGGAAAGCGTTGAAAGAGAACTCTACACCGAGGCCGAACTATCGTCTGCAAGGTAAAGAGTCGATCTTCAACTGCGAAGTGTACCGTGGGTTAAGCTGGGTCCAAAGGAGCGTGTTGTTCTGGTTATAACAGACAAATTCCCTCACCCATCTCTCTCCATTTAAACTTCATTTTCCCATCTTTAAAACTCTTCTATCTGCCAGTAATCATCCAGATATTTTCAGAAATGTCTGTTGGGTTAAAAGCTGCAAGTGGAAACCATGGCCGTATGGTTTCTAATTGTAAAGCTAATTAATTAAGCTGTTGTTGAAATCAATGTTGCCAAATTAATGTAAATGTTTGATGTTAAATTTTGGTTCTGTTAATAAATGACCACGTTCATTTTGATGGGTCAAAGAAAATTAACGTCTCACGTCACATTTAATCATTCAATGCGCGATAGAACTCAGTCCAGAAAAATGAAAGAATCCGTTTAATTTATGAATAATATCGACAGATATATGTTCATTACACAACTGAAGACGTTTTAAAGACGTATTTGGACATCCAGATAATAAACCATTGCTATAGTCCAGTCTAGATGTGACAAATGCATGGACCAGTTTTTCTGCATCATTTTTAGATAAGATGTTTCTAATTTTAGTGATATTACGCAGATGGAAGAAGGCAGTTCTAGTAACGTTTTTAATGTGGGAGATAAAAGACATGTCCTGATCAAAAATAACACCAAGATTTTTAACATTAGAGCTGGAGGACAGATTAATGCCATCTAAGGAGGGAGAAAGACTGAAAAATTAATTCCTAAGGTGCTCAGGTCCAAAAACCAAAACCTCAGTTTTGTCTGTGTTCAACAGGAGAAAATTAAGAGTCATCCAGGTTTTTATGTCTTTAAGACAACTCGTCATTTTTTGTGGGTATAACATCCTATAAAATTCAGTTTTATGTTAGTTTTGGTCAAAGCTTGAAAGAGCTGCTGCGGAGGGAGCAGAGCCGCATGTGGCTCCAGAGCCACAAGTTGCAGACCCCTGGTCTAGCCACTCCTTGTAAACTAACTGGATATTTCCTGACTTAATATTAAAAATACACCCTATAAGTTTTTGGTTTGCACCCAAAGACAAAAGGTAAAAAATATTTTACCTGTGTGTGTTTATGTGTCTGTCTGTTAGCAAAATACCTTATGAACCACTGGGAAGATTTTAATGAGGGATTTTTAGATGCATAGGCTAGATTTTCATATCAACAGTACAGCTCTACATTCCTTACTGGGAAAATTCTAGGTCAAATAATGGAACACAGCGGAAGCCTAAAAGAATGAAACTGACTTGAATTCTTAAGATCAGGAGAAGCGAAGATGTTTCATGTTCCTCCCAAATCTGACTTATTGCCACTTATTTTGTATATTTAAGTCTCTTTGTTTAATCCCAAATATTTTCCAAAGTCTGTCCTTTGATTAATGACAAAATGACAAAGTCTTTTGTGTTTAATTTTATGGTTGAGGCTCTCAGACAGTCACCTCTGTTGCACTGTGGGTAGAGTAGCTCTTCTGTCTACCATGGAGGTAATAGGAAGGCTGAGCTGTCTGTTGCAACTCCTGCCCTGCTCCTCCTTCGTACGTCCCTCCATAGGATTTATTGAAGACGTCTGCCATGTTTTCTGTGCTCTGTTGCCTCCTCGTCGAGCAGCCATGTCGCCGAGTGGAGCCATGCAGGGAGGAGGAGGTGTGTGCCGGAGCAGAGGTCTGCCTGTGGACATGGCGGCCAGCTGGCTCCCAGGCTTTGAAAGCTGAGTTGACTAGAAATGGGTGTGTGGCGGTCTTGGGAAGGTGTGACTGCTCTAGATGGCTAGAGGAGATGGAGATGGCAAGAGGGGTATGCATGTTGTGGTGTGCTGACTGGGGCTTGTGGATGTAGGACTTCTCTTTGGGCTGTAAGGGAGGGGGCATTGCAGGTTGGTAATGGGAGAAGTCCATAATAGGGAAACTCTTGTAGTAGCTCCGGGAAGCAGTTTCAGCTGCAGACATGGTAAAAAGAAGAGACTGTTACATCACAAAACAAAAACTACAGGCCACCTTTTCTCAGTTGGGAGGTTTGATTCACCAGAATGTGACAAAAATGACCTGGTCTTACCAAGTTATAACATTATCTCATAATGTACTGTTTGTGGATGTGTTGTACAACCACATTTCCTAAAATGTTGGGAGGTTGTGTAAACTTAAAGTCCAACTAAAAGTCCCAGAGCCATTCTTTTTTAACTCTGTGCTGAACTGGCCCAACATTACAGAGAGAAACCAGGGTTGATGCCAGTTAGCTGTCACTATCCTGGGGTTCCTTGCAACCGGAGCCCTTCAGGGGGAACATGTTTTAAGGTGAGATAATTCACAGTGGCTCCTGATTAATGCCATGCTAGTCCTACAGGACGTCCTCATCCATATGGTTCATTCAACCTTTATTTAGACAGGTAAATCCCATTGAGCCTCGAGGACTCATTTACAAGAGACCTGATGTTGCTGTTGTCCAACAATGGACAACAGCAACAACAATAGACAGTTATAAAAAGCATGCAGATTTTTTTTTTCAACGAATAGGATGGCTAAAAAAACAAAAGTAACAAAAAACAGCTAGATTCTAAGGTGAATTTAGAAAACTAAAAACAGGAACATGGATGCACAGGGATATCAAATTCCTCTTGACCAGGGGTAACCATTACATCGATCACAATCTACCTGTAGATCGTGGGCTGTCTCTGGCCAATCACAAGATTTGGAGAAAACAACTTTTTAACACATCATTTAATGTTTAGTATTATTTTAATGTGTGCATTCTTTCAACCTATCCTACTAGATGCATTTAAACTGTTCTTAACAACAACAAACAAGGGGGGAAATGAACGGAAAATAAAAAGGTTTGAAAGCTCAATCATTCAGGTAGATAAATCACAAAAAATGGTTAAATCAGGTCATCTGGACAGTTTCTTTTTGGGAGAAAAGTTTAGTCTTTCATCCGAAAGACTTCAAAATTTTGGCCAGGTGTCTTAAGGCTGTTTTCTGTGAGTAGCAAGTCGGCCATTTGGCCTAAAACATTTGATTGTTATGCATGCTGATTGATTGTTTTGGATGGATCATCCCTTTTTTGTCATGTGTATTCTGGGAATTCCACAGAGGACTGGCTTGGAACACGTCATTGAATCAGAATCAGAATAAGCTTTATTATCATTGCACCGAGATACAACGAGGTGCTATTTGTAAGACAGATCTGGGTTGGCAGGCCTCAGACTGATGAAGTCTTTCAGATGAAAGACAAAACATTTCTCCCGAAAATAAACTGTCCAGATGACCTGATTGAACCTTTTTTTAGGATGCAGAGGACAGAGATGGAGGAGGATGGCTTGCCGCAGAGAGCACTGGAGAGGGAAAAGCAGAAAGAAGAAGATGATTCTCCTACTTACAATGATGGTGTGATTCAAATCTGTTTAGTGTACCTGTTCTCTTAGGATCAGAGCTTCTTAAACTTTTTGAGTTCATACAAGAAAAATTTCCAGGAACTCCCTGATGATTTCTTTAGTACCATTGGAATATTGTTGTAACCCAAATACTTAAGACCTTAAGGCTGTAACTACCATACCACCACTGCACCCTGTATTCACTGGTTAACTGGTCATCATTAACTTCACGCAGACTCTCTCACTGGTACATTTTCATCTTTAAATCACTTCTTGGTCTGTTGCCTTCATACATCTCCTCCTACATGTCTCTGTGTGAGTGCAGCTACAGCGAGTGCTCTCAGGACATTATTACCTGCAGTGTTCCCTCAGTGAGGACTGAACTAGGCAGAAGGGCCTTCTCCTACTCCGCTCCTGTTTCCTGGAATATCTTACAAAAAGATCTGAAGCTCTCGACCTTGACCTCTTTGAGTAGTTTCAAACATCTGCTAAGTTCATGTCAAAAACAAACACAGACATGTTCCTGTTTTTAGTTTTCTACATTGCTTTATAGTGTAGCTGTTTTTGTTGCATTTTTTTAATATAATTTTCTTCCATTCATTTTCTTCAATGTATATGCTTTCTTTTATGATTGTCTACTGTTGTCATCATTCTTTGTTAAAAACAGATCTCTCTTGTAAACGAGTCATCGAGGCTCAACAAGACTATAAATAAAGGTTGAATGAATGTTTAAAAAAATAAAATTAACCTGATTAAACTTGAATAGTGTTAATACAATTTTTATGCTTTTTAACATAGGCTTTTATTTATATATTAAAGGCACAATTAATAATTAACAACATTTTTAATTTCAACTTCCAAATTTTACAGCTTTGAGAAAATTAACAGGATCAAAAACCGGTAAAAAAAAATGTAATCACCAACATGATAACATAAACAAATACAATATCAGAAAATCTGTGCCATGCATTTATTTCTTCTAAGCTGGACTATTATAATTATTTATTATCTGTGTGTCTAAAAACTCTTTTAAAAGTCTATAGTTGATCTAAAATGCTGTTGTTAGAGTTCTGATGAGTGTTTGGAGAGGTCATATTTCTCCAATCCTAGCTTTTCTTCATTGACACTCTGTGAAATTTATATAATGATGTCAACAAGCAAGCTCTATAATCTAAAAAAGTTAAATCTGGTCCTCTGGACATTCAACAAAACAAAACAAAGCAAATCAACAAAAAAATGTAGAAACGTTTCGTCTCTCATCCGAGAGACTTCCTCAGTCTGAGGAGCTGTATTCAGCTCAGTCTCTTAAATAGCACCTTCTCAGAGTGGATCAACCAGTTTTGCTGCTGACAACCAAAACCAGCTGATCACATGCTCAAGAAGGACCATCAGCCTAACAATGGATCATTAGCACACTGATGGCTGTTTACTGTTCACAGAGGGCTGAGTGATACTAGCAATCACAGCATTGTAAGAGGGGGACAGTTGAACCCGGAGGCCTCCACCCCTGTTTAACGATGGACGATTTCTTTTCACAAAGATGGCCTCCTTTACTCCTCTCTCAAACCATCGTTCCTCTCTGTCCAGGATGTGAACATCTTCATCCCTAAAAGAGTGACCGCTGGCCTGGAGATGAGTGTAGACCGCAGAGTCCTGGCCTGATGATGTTGATCTTCTGTGCTGGGCCATCCTTTTGGCCAGTGGCTGTTTTGTTTTCCCCGATGTAAGACTGATCACAGCCCTCCTCCAAAGAAAGATAAAACTTTAAGACCCTGCATTGATTATAGAGAGCTTAATCAGATTACTGTAAAGAACAAGTACCCCCTGCCTCTGATTGACTCTATCTATCTTTTGGGGAGTGGTGGCGCAGAGGTTAGAGAGGTGGGCCTGTGATCCGAAGATCGTCGGTTCACGCCCCGGCCCCGACAACATCAAAATTGTGGGTGGGGTAGGTGAAACACCCACACTTTCCCCCACCCTCATTCGCCCCACTTTGGGCCCATGAGCAAGGCCCTTAACCCCCACCATGTGCTCCCTAAACAGGTCTCTCTTGAAAATGAGTTCTCGTGGCTCAATGAGACTAACCTGAATAAATAAAGGCTAAATGAAAAAAAAAAAAAAATCTATGAACAGCTCCATTCGGTCACTATTTTCACTAAATTGGACCTTCGTAACACTTACCATCTCATGAGAATAAAAGAGGGAGACGAGTGGAAAACAGCTTTCAAGACCCCGTTAGGACATTTTGAAGACCTGGTAATGCCTTTTGGCCTCACCAACGCCCCAGCAGTGTTCCAGGCCCTAGTTAATGATGTCCTCCGTGATTTTCTCAACCAGTTTGTCTTTGTGTACCTGGATGACATTCTCATTTACTCCACTGACCCTGTACAACACATCCAACATGTCAGGTCAGTTCTACAAAGACTTTTTGAAAATCAACTCTATGTGAAAGCTGAAAAGTGTGAGTTCCACATCTCCACAGTCTCATTTCTTGGTTTTATTTTTGAAAGAGGACAGTATCGCACAGACCCCAACAAGGTTAAGGCAGTGGTGGATTGGCCCGTCCCAGAGAACCGAAAGCAGCTGCAACGATTCCTGGGCGTCGCCAATTTTTACAGGAGGTTCATTAAAGGGTACAGTCAGGTGGCAGCCCCCCTCACTCAGCCCACCTCCACACTACGGACCTTCAAGTGGACTCCCGAAGCAGATTCAGCCTTCAGTAAGCTCAAAGATCTGTTCTCCTCTGCCCCTATCCTCTGCCACCCTGATCCCAAGAGACAATTTATTTTGGAGGTGGATCCTTCTGATACAGGGGTTGGGAGCTGTTCTGTCCCAGAGATGTCAAGAAGATAATAAGATACATCCCTGTGCTTTTTTTTTCAAAATGTTTGTCTGCAGCTGAACAAAACTATGATGTGGGAAAGAGAGAATTACTGGCCATCAAGATGGCTCTAGAGGAATGGAGACATTGGTTAGAGGGCACTGAAGTTCCGTTTCTCATATGAACTGATCACAAAAATCTGGTCTACATTCAGAATGCTAAACGTCTTAACCCCAGGCAGGGGAGATGGTCACTATTTTTTGCTTGTTTTAACTTCTCTCTCACCTACAGACCCGGATCCAAAATGTCAAACCTGATGCACTGTCTCGCCAATTCTCAGCATTGGATGACAGTGAGAGAGAGGTCAGCATCATCCCTTTGTCCTGTGTGGTCGATGCACTCTCATGGCCCATCACAGAGGAGGTCCTGGAGGCTCAAAGGGTGGAACCTGATCCCAAGACCGGCCCCAAGGACAGGATGTTTGTTCCCTCAGCAGTGAAGGCCCATGTCCTTGACTGGGTCCACACTAACAAGTTGTCCTGCCATCCTGGAACCAACTGCATGTTGGCTTTAATAAAAAGATACTTTTGGTGGCCCACTATGAGTCACGACGTCAAAGAATTTGTCTCTGCTTGTCAGACCTGCAACAGAAACAAGAGTGGACACAAACCACCCGCAGGACTGCTTCAGCCCCTCCCTACTCCTAGTCGGCCGTGGTCCCACATTTCCTTGGACTTCGTTACTGGGTTAC